GAGATAGGGTCTCACTCTTTCACCCAAACTGGAGTGCAGTGGTGCAATCTTGGCTCTCTGGAACCTCTGCCTCCCAGGTGCAAGTGATTCTCCCATATCTCTCTCCCAATTAGCTAGGACTAAAAGTACCCAGCACCGTGCCCAGGTAATTTTTGTGTTTTTAGTAGAGACAGGGTTTCACCAAGGTGATCTCTAACTCCAGTCCTCAGGTGATCCATCCACCTCGGCCTCCCAAAATGCTGGGATTAAAGGCGTGAGCCACTGTGCCTGGCCTATTTTATTCTTATTTGTATGGTTTTCACAATTTTTAGCTTAAATGGAAAGTATTCACAAAAGGAGAATAATTTGTCTCAACTACATAAAGAAATAATTTTTCTATCCCAAATGAATATAAAGTCACTTCTCACAAAATAAACATCAATTTAGCAGAATTAAGTTTCCTCTTACGGCATCTGATGCTTGAGGATTACCGAGGATCTATGCAATAGAGCACTAAATTTTGGAATTAGCTGAGAATGATCCCAGATTTCCTCTAGTAAACATAATTTTGGCCACAAATGAAGACAAATGATAAAAGTTATTAGCTCAATTCTAGAAGAACACCTCTCATCAGAATTTAATAGATCTTATTTAGGTTTCTAGGAAGTATTTAACTACATAAAACCTATAGGGAAAAATGGCCATATTTGAAAACTGTTACAAGGATCAAAGCAGAGCACAGGATTGTAATGAGCAGAGTCAACAGAACATACTAAAGAGGTATGTATAGTCAGTCCCAGTGGAACCTGCAGAGTCACATTCTTATACACTTATTTATACTTCATCTTGTTCCACGGGCAGATATCCTCATTCTCCAAAGCACAAGGAGCTGCCACTTCTGAGTGGGCCCAACATTTCAAAATCGGGAACACTTGGTCACAATACATCAACAAATCTGGCTCAGTAAAGGTTTCTCCATCTTTACTATGTGGCCGATGATAGCGGTAGTGCACAGGCAAAAAGGCTTGAAAACAATCAATGCACTGTGAATCTTGTCTGGCATAAATGAGAACTTCAGATTCCTTGGACAAATAGTTAGGGGCCTCTATATCAAAAATTTCCAAAACCATCATTGTCTCTGTTAAGTTTCTCTCTCATAATGAAGCCAACTCATATGGATCCACAAAAAGTCCTGTAGGAATGTACTGTTTAATTAAGAGTCAGCACTTCTGTAAGTCCTCAATGCCTTCTCCAAACTTCATTTTTATTAAAAGGTCTCTGTGGAAACCATCTTTCAAAACTTCTTGTCTCAAAGTAATTTCAGAACACGTGGCCCTTATGCCGGCGTCAGAGTTTGCGGCGGTGAAGGCTGGGGCGGGCCGCGCGTGAGCCGAACCAGGTCGCCGCCCCGAGGAGCAGCCAGGCGATCGCCGGAAGCCGCCGCCACCCAAGCCGCCAGGACTGGAGCCAGCTGCGGACGCAGGAAGCACAATACTCTTTTAATTATGGTTGGTTTATTTTTAAAATGTCTCATATTTTAGAATTTTCTGCTCTGTCTCTTCAATGGGTTACCTCTCACCAAGGTTCCTATATTAGTTATCTATTGCTGCATAACAAATTATCCTAAAACTTAACAGCTTGAAAGCGTGTTATCTCACACTTTCTGAGAGTCAGGAATCTGGGAACAGTGTAGCTGGGTGGTTCTGGCTTAGGATCTCTCATGAGGTTGCAGCTATGCTGACAGCAGGGCTGTAGTTATCTCAAGACTTGATTGGGGCTGAGAGATGCGCTTCCAATTTCACTCAAATGATTGAGCAAACAGATCTTAGTTCCTCGCTGGCTATAGGGTGGAGGACTGAGGTCTTTGCCACATGGGTTTGCAATAGGGATGCTCCCAATATGGAGCCAGAGTGGAGATATATATATATATATATATATATATATATATATATATATGGAGAGAGAGAGAGAGAGAGAGAGAGAGAGAGAGAGAGAGTGAGTGCAGAATGCTCTGTTTCTTACATCCTGACCTTGGACGTGACGGATCATTACCTCTAGCAACTCTGGTGTGGTGTGAGGAGCTTACACAGCGTGAGCGCCAGTGGGCAGGGATCATAGCGGCCATCTAGAGGCTGGTTCCCACAGTTCCAAATCCTGGTTCTCTTCTCATTTTACTTTATTCATGCTCCTGGGAGTGCTCATCCATTTAATGAGGCTGCTTCTACCTATGACCAATAATCCCCATATCATTCTCCTTAACGCTCAGTCTTGAGCTCCAGAACTATTTATCCAACTGCAGGGGTACCTCCTCTGAAATATCCCATAGTGATCTCCATAGCTTTTACTATGCTTTACTGGGGTGCCCCTGAACCTTAGACCTACTTCCATTTTGACATGTATCCCCGCATTACATTTATCTGATTCCTCCATTAGACTGTAAGCTGATATTTATTTATTTCTATAAAGTTATTGAGGGTAGGGACTATGTCTTCATTATTTTTGTGTACTGGATGCCTAGTATGAAGTGGGGTCTGGAGCCTGCTTGAGTTTGGGGCTGTGGACTCATGGGTCCATCTGTTTCCATTGTGTGACAGCATCTTTAGGGACAGCCAGACTGCCAAGAATGGGTTCTCAAACTGTGCTTTGTGCTTTTTTCCTTCTTTTCCTTTCCCTCTTCCTCCTCCCAGTCTTAAGATGTAACTTTGAGACAAACTGTATATGTTTTACCTTTCATTTGGAAATACAATCTCAGAATGTGCTGTGAACCTCTGCTCCCTTTCCTTTCCCATGCTATGCTCCCATGCCTACTGCACATTTATTTACCAAAATGCTTGTTAAGCACACACCATACTCTCTTATCTGGTCATATATTTCCTTAGAAGCTTTGTTGTAGTAGGTAGGCAGATGTGAGCAGAGGAGAGGACTCCCCACCCCACAGCAGAAATATCAGTTGTTACACTGTGTCTCTAAAATAATAATTGGCCACAGATGGTGCCAGGGAAAGGCCATCTCCCAGTATATAGAAACACCTGAAGCTGGTGATCAGCAGCTTCCAGATAAGATCTCAGGAGGTGAGTGAGTGAACTCAAGCATGCACATCAAGAGGCAAAGTGGCAGAGTTTAACTGGTATATGACCTTCTAGGAACACTCAACTGGTAAGGGAAGAATGCCTAAAGTAAGCATGCGTACAATTCCAGTAAACACATTGCACTTGTAGCCCCTCCCAGGTGCTGGGAGGCCACTGCACGTGCAGAATGCCAATAAGTAAGAACCCAAGTCCAAGGTGAAACCTGGCACTTGATCTCTCAAGTTGCTCACTTGGCCCTCTTTCTAGAGAACTTTACTTCCTTTAATTCCTGCTCTAATGCTTTTTAATAACCTTTGACTCCTGCTCTAACACTTGCCTTGGTCTCTCATTCTGCCTTATGCCCCTCAGTTGAATTTTTTTCTTCTGAGGAGGCAAGAATTGGGGTTGCTGCAGACCTGTATGGATTCACTGCTGCTAACATAATTTGGTGTCATGTGGCTCGGTTACCTTCTCTAGTGGTAAGAGATCTCTGCCTCTCACCTTCTTCAGCTGGGGGTGTTCAACCCCTGTACACAGTTTCCTTCTCTCCTTTCACTCTCCTGCCTACTTACCAACACTCAGAATGATTCCTCTCAGCCACAGAGGCTCTGCTACCCCAGCTGATCTCTCAGCTCACCCTGACGGGTGGCTCGAGGGGTTGGGAAGGTAGTTGGAGTCTGCACTGAGTAGATCTGAGGCAGTAATGGCCCTCCTGGAGAGGAAGCTCACAAGAGTGGCAGGGCTAAAGCCTAAAATGGTGCAATATCTGGGGTTGCCTCTGCTTTGTCAACTAAAATCCACTCTTTTCCAAAAAATCTGAACTGTCTATTCTCCTGTTTTCCCCGTGTGTATTCTGAAATGGCCTTGCACACCCACTGACTGTCTGCCTCAGGGGCAAGTCTGTCTCTTCTCTGGTTTCACTTCGAATGCTATGTTGCTGTTTTCTCTGCCTTAAAACACACACTCCCTGTTATTTGTGTGTCTCCAGCTCTTGCTGCATCTGCTCAGCAGCAAAGACATGGGCTCTCTTTGTGATTATCCCCTGAGATTTATGCTTGTTTTTACTCTACCAGCACAGATGACTTCCAACCCTTCCCCTGTCTGCCGGCTCATTGCTGGAACAGACATTAATTGGAGCTCTGGCTCTGCCAGCTCCTTATGACTTACCATATGCTCTCCTTTTACACCCCAGGGCCAAGTTTTCTGGTGGCTTTTGAAGCAGTTTGTCTACCTGCATAGGACCTCACTCTTTTTTTTTTTTGAGTTAGCACTCCTTTGGGAAGATGGAAATTCTTCTTTTGCCATTTGTGTGTTCTTACCCCAAGCTCCAAGTCCTGTGGGGGTTACTTTTTTATGTCAAGAGGGCAAATAAATGTCGCCCTCTCAAATCCAAGGGCTGATATTTTTGTGAACGTAAAAAGGCTTTCCCTGAGTATTCCTCGCTTCCTTCTACTTCCTCCTGTAGGCTCCATTTCTCCAATCACTTCCATGCCCTTGTCAAGATGTATCAAGACCTTCAAGGTCATATTCGAAGGGAGGGAAGTCCAGCCCCTTGCAGCAGTTAGCTGAAAACCAGGCTTCTCGTCTACTTAAAGAACATGGGAAATGGGACTCTGAGAAAAGAAATAATCATTTTGTTGCTGGAATGTTCTGAGTAAGAGTCACTATAAGGTCATGAGACAAGGATATAGGCCAGCCCAAGACTGCAGGAGCAAGACACCCACAGGACATAGATGAAGGCCGGTCCTAGGCTAACAGATTATCATTAGAACAGAGACAAAGGCAAGGTTAGGGGTTCATGGTAAGATCAGTTCATTCCAGAACCCCAAGGATGAACAGGGGGCCCCCTTTTCACTCCAGTATCTCCTCTGTTCGCAAGTGGGTACTTGTGATAAGATGGGACCAAGGTTAAGGGTACATGATAAGACCAATTTATTCCAGAACCCTAAGGACAAATGGGAAACACCCTATTCAGGATAATAGAAAAGTAAGAAAGGGTGCCATCTTTTTACTTTTTCCTCTTCTTTTCTCTCTTTGCAGATGGGTAATTGTGTCTCCAGACCACAGGACATGCCCCTCAGATGCATCTGCCAAACTGGGAGAAGTTTCATTCTCCTAAGCCTTAAAACAAAACAACCTAGTTTTTCTTTATAATATTGTTTGGTCTAAAAATCAACTGGAAGGAAATTACAAAAGTCAGCCTTAGAACTTAGTGCCTTTATGCAGGAAATCCTCAAATTAGCCTCCTCAGTCTTTTATAACTGAGAGCAGGATAAGGAGGACAGGGCTAGGGAGAAAGAGAAATGTAGGGACTAGAGGCAGGCTCAACTATTGGCTGCTTTGCAAGCCTACCAGCCCCCTCCAAATTGCCCTAAGGATACTCCTGCAGGTAAGTGCCATTGGTGCAGAAAGCCAGGTCACTGGAAGGCAAACTGCCTCAATGGGATAAATGGGAAAAAGGCCCACATGTCTTGCCCTGTCTGTCACAAACTTGACCACTGGAGATGGGACTGTCCTGAAAGCTGAAGGGCCCCTGAGACAGAATTCCAACCCCTGTTGGCCTTGAGCTGAAAGGGCTCTCCACTCCAGCTGTTTTCCAAATCAGACATTGTCACCAACAGGACAAAGCCAAGGGCAACTGTGAAGGTGGCAAGTAAAATTTAAAGTTTCCCTTTTGAGTTTAAGAGCTGCCTACTCTGTGCTAATCTCCTTCTCTAAGCAACTCTTCTCCAAATCCTGTTGGGATTCACACACCTTTATACTACTTGAGGGACCAATTACCATTCACTCACCAATCTCTGGTAATATCTAAATACTCCACATCTCCTTGGGGCAAAAATATACTTTCCAAGATGGATGTCTTAATATTTACTCAATCTTTGAATTCATCTTTCCCTCTAATAGCCCTATTTCTCCCAAAAAGCTACCGAAATCTTTAACCAATAACTTCAACCTAAATGTTCCTACTTCAGGGGTTTAGAAATAGCCCACTCTTACTCAAACAAGCCCTAGCAAAAAACAACAACAACAAAAAACTAACTGAGCAATCTCTTGAGAGGGATAACTTTTAAAGTATGTAGACAATCTTTTTATCTGCTCCCTTTTCATGGGACTCATGCAGCAATATGCAGTACAACCCTTAACTTTATAACAAAGGAAAATTACTTTTGTTTAATTCAAAGGTTATAAAGAGGTATTTTTGGTGAGGAAGGTTATAAAGAAAAGAGATTTTATATGAGAAAGGTTCTTGAATGGTAAATCCTTGTCCTAAAGTAAAATGACTGGTTGTTTAGGAAAAGAGACATTTAGGACAAGTTAGAAAGTCCAAGAATATTGTAAATGGTTTGTGTGAGTCGTAAAAAGATTTCTGAAAGGGAATTTATGAAAGAAATATTAAATAATT